GGATTCTAACATCCTCCCCCACTTAAGTCGTCGACGTCCTCGTCGACTTACAAAATCTACACTAAGATCTTAGCAGCTTCAGTCTTCTGTTGTAGGGGTGGCTCTTGTCCTGGTTCTGATGTTGGCGCGGTAGCTGACGTTGCGGTTGCTGTCGTCGGGATCTGGATGGTAGGGTTTTAGACGACTAACGTGGAAGACGGGGTGAATCCTCATCCACGCAGGCGGTTCTACCTTGTATGCGTTCTTCCCAATCCGTTTAGTGATGCGGATGGGGCCTTCATATTTCCGAATGAGGCGACGATCTCTCCCTCTGAGAAACTTCAGCTGTTCTGGTAAGACCTTCACCATCACCATGTCCCCAATAGCAAAATCAACTGGCCTTCTGTTTTGATCAGCCCATTTCTTCATCCGGCGCGATGCTCGCTCTTGGTAGGCTTTTGCAATGTCGGTGTTTTGCTTCCACTCTCTTGTAAAATCTCGAGCCTGAGCACTCCTACCGCCCTCCCAGTCAGCCACTGTGTGCGGGAGGAGAGGTTGTTGACCCATGACCAACTCAAAGGGGCTTTTGTTGGAAGAAGAACTCCTTTGAGCGTTGAAGCAAAGTTGTGCGACGTCCAAGAGTCTCACCCAATCTTTCTGGTTGGCGCTCACAAAGTGACGTAAGTATTCCTCGAGAAGCCCATTGAATCTCTCTGTCTGCCCATCAGATTGAGGGTGGTGGCTTGACGACATGTTGAGGTCAGACCCCATCATTTGGAATAGCTCAGACCAGAATATGCTCGTGAATCTGGTATCCCTGTCGCTTACTATGCTCTTTGGCAATCCCCAGTACTTCACAATATGCTTAAAGAAGAGAGATGCCGTTTCTTCTGCTCCGCAAGCCTTCTGCAAGGGTACAAACGTTGCGTATTTTGAGAACCTGTCTATCACCACCATGATAGAAGAGAACTGGCCAACCTTCGGGAGGCCACTAATGAAGTCCATCGACACACTCTCCCACGGTCGAGTTGGTACAGGAAGAGGTTCAAGGAAGCCCCCGGGCTTCTGTCTGTCAACCTTGTCTTGCTGGCACACAAGGCAGGTTTTGGTGTAGCTCATCACATCTTCCTTCATTCCTGGCCAGTAGTACCCCATCGCAAGTAGACTGAGGGTTCTCTGCCAACCTGGATGTCCCGCCCACAGCGTATCATGGCATTCCTTCAACAACATTTTCCTCAATCCCCCTGCTTTGGGGATGAACAGCTTTGTACCTTTGGTGAAGATGAGGCCATCTTCCAACCAAAAGCGTCTAGTCTTCCCTTCTTCAATCATCCTTGTTATGGTTTTTGTCATCGGATCATCTGGGAGATAAGCACGAACTTGATCTCTAACGGATGTGGCAATGCTGCTTGCCGTCATTGGCGCTAACTTGTACATCGCAGCAAGATCGGCCCGCCTACTCAGGGCATCGGCAACTCTATTGCTGGATCCCGTTCTATAGGTGAACTCCACGTCGAACTCAGCTAAGTCCTCCTGCCACCGAGCTTGTTTTCCTGTCAGCTTGGGTTGGGTGAGAAAGTGACTCGCCGCGGTGTTGTCTGTGCGGACGGTAAACTTTGACCCCAACAAGTAGTGCCTCCATCCTCTTAGGCAGTGCACAATGGCTAGTAGCTCCTTTTCTTGTGCCGCATACCTTCTCTCCGCATTATTCAGCTTCCTACTTTCGAATGCAATAGGATGTCCTTCTTGGAGGAGCACTCCTCCTAAAGCAAAATCCGAAGCATCCGTCTCGACCACGAATGGTTTGGTGATGTCTGGAAGGGCAAGGACCGGCTCCTTCACCATTGCTTCTTTCAACTTCTGGAAAGCTTCCTTCTGGGGCCCTGACCATTCCCAACGACAATCTTTCCTCAATAGGTCGGTGAGGGGACTTGCGATCTCTGAGTATCCCTTAATGAATCTTCTATAATAGTTCGCCAGTCCTAGAAAGGATCGCAGCTCAGAGGGGTTCTTGGGATCCCGCCAATCGCGAACAGCACATATCTTCTTTGGGTCCATCCTCAATCGACCCTTCCCCACAAAGTGTCCAAGAAATCCGACTTCTTCCTGCGCAAAGGCACACTTTTCTCGTTTCACAAAAAGGTGATGTTCTCTCAGCTTCTCGAAGACCAATCTTAGGTGCTCGAGGTGCTCCTCCAAAGTCTTGCTGTAGACAACGATGTCATCGAGGTACACGACCACAAACTTGTCTAAGTACTCTCAAAATACTTGGTTCATCAGAGTACAGAACGTAGCAGGTGCATTCGTCAAGCCGAAGGGCATGACTAGCCATTCGTATGCCCCGTATCTCGTCACACAAGCAGTTTTTGGTTCATCTCCTTCGGCGATACGAACTTGGTGATAGCCAGACTTCAAGTCTAGCTTTGTAAAGTACACTGCATCCCCTAACTGATCGAACAAATCCGCCACCAAAGGGATAGGGTAGTGATTGCGCACCGTAACCTTATTTAATGCTCGGTAGTCGATACACAATCGAAGACTTCCATCTTGTTTTTTCTGAAAAAGCACAGGAGCCCCATAAGGAGCCTTTGATGGGCGGATGAAGCCTGCCTCAAGCAAGTCCTCCAATTGTTTCCGGAGTTCAGCCAATTCTGGGGGGGCCATGCGATAAGGGCTTCGTGCTGGGGGTTTCGCCCCTGGAACCAGCTCAATCTCATGGTCCACTGTCCTTCTAGGTGGGAGAACTTTTGGTAGGTCTTTCGGGAGGAGATCCTGGAACTCTGATAGTAGCTCGGCAACTGCAGGCGGAAAGTCTCCACTTGCTTCATCTTCCTTCGCGGAAAGTGTTGCTAGGAACGTGGGCTCGTTCCTCTTCAACCCCTTCTCCAATTGCATTGCTGAAAGGAGGGGCCCTTTCGGCCCTTTTCCCGAATCGCAGGTTCGGAGGAGCCATGGTTGCTGCCCGGGCACCAGAATAGATCTAAGATGCGGCATCGGGACTTCCTTACTAAAGTGTAAGAAGTCCATGCCGAGCACCAAGCTGAAGTCGTCCATTGGCGCAACGGTAAAGTCCACCTGTCCGCTCCAATCTCCCAGCTTCATTGTTACTTTCTTGGCAACGCCGTGGATCGGTTTGGCAACTGAATTCACCGCTTTCATACTGCCTCCTTCTGGTAGGAGCTTCAACCCAAGTCTTTTTGCCTCCTTTTCTGAAATGAAGTTGTGGGTAGCACCGGTATCCACCATGGCACGAGTTTCCTTTCCGTTTACCAACGCATTCACATACATCAATCCAGAGTTTTTGGGTTGGCCCTCAGAGCCTTCTCTTCCCATAGCGCACATCATGCGAATGGCCCCCAGTCTGGAATGTTCTCCTTCACTAGGTACTACCTCATCGACAGTTTCTTTTGGAGATTGTCAATTTCTCCCTTGTGTCGACATTCAAACCACTTGTGCGGTCCTCTGCAAAGGATACACGTCAATGGCCTGGCTGTCGAAGATGAACTAGGGGTGCTTCCTCTACTAGAGAAGGAAGAAGCTCCACTTTTCCGAGAGTCTTCTCCCCCACTCCTATTGTATCTATTGTTCGAGTTGTTGGAGCTCACTTGCGAGCCATGTCCGGAGTTCCTAGGAGGGTTCGGTGTCGGCCCGCTATTCCCTTTCTTCAAACCTTGTCCTTTCTCTGAGGAGTAGTCCATCAACCTTTCGGCTGCAGCGATGGCTCCCGATAAAGTATCAATCTTTTGGCGCCAAATTTCTCTTTGGGCCCATTCCTTAAGACCACGCACAAAGTTGAATAGGCGATCTTCCTCGGACATATTGTGGATCTCCAACATGCACGCTGAAAACTCTTTGACATACTCCCGGATGGAACCCTTATGCTGCAAAGCAGCGAGCTTGGTGCGAGCAACAAACTCGGTATTCTCGGGATAAAATTGGGCCATCAGCTCTTTCTTCAAATCCTCCCAAGTATCCACTGACGTCCTCTTAGCTTGGATGTCGGTGTACTTGGTGCGCCACCAAAGCTTTGCATCATCCACCAAATACATAGTGGCGGTATCAACTTTTAACTCATTCTCCAACTGACAGACCCGAAAGTATTGCTCCATGTCGAAAATGAAATTATCGACTTCTTTTGAATCTCTCGTGCCATTGAAGGTCCGGGGCTTGGGAGGTTTTATCTTGGCACCTCCACTTCCCCCGAGCCCTCTCTGGGCACGCATTAAGGTTGCACATTTATCATGTGCTTCATCAGCGACGCCTTGCACGAAGTTAAGTTGCTCCGTTAACCCATCCACAGTAGCGGCAAGCCTCTCTATTTGGTCGGCTTGTTTTATTACAATATCCTCGAGTTTGGGCAGCCTTTCTTCAAGCATAGCCCACTGTTCGGACTTGCCTTCAAGCCAAGCAAGTCTTTCCTCGAATGTGTATTCATGCATCTCTCCTTCTTCTGCCATCTCTACGGCAAACTTGGCTCTGATACCAAACTGTCACGGTCCGAGTGATTCAACACCAGATCGTGCGGCGCGCTCTCGTCTTTTGGCGACAAGGGCGCAAGCCTAAAGCAAGGAGGTTCGTGAGCACACAGCAACACGGACCTACGGTGTCTCAAGAGGGCGCACGAGAACAACGAGTGCGGAGTCGGGGCTTGTGACGGCCGATACTTCGAAGCGGGCACAAGCGGAACCGACGAAAATGAGGACGTCTCTAGGGTCTCTTGGTTTGGTGGGGGATGCTTTAAAACAAGGCAAGCACAATATCTATAAAGGCTTAAACAACACACAAGTCTTAAAGCAATAACAACGGGGTAGAGAGCTTTGATTGAATAACCATTCGCTCCCTAAAGAGCTTTATATTGCATTAGTAGAGAATTACAAGTGAACGTTGAAATGACAGTAACACAATAATTCTCCCTAGGGTCTAGAAAAATAAAAAGAAAGACTAAAGAGACATTACATAAGGAAAATATAAGGAAAATAAAGAAGAATACATAACAAAGAGGTTGGATTCTAACACCTTGCCAATCGAGACTTATGTAGTGATGGAAGAACGTTGTTGTTGGATCCATCAGAAATGATAATAGCTTAAGTACCGGCACAAAATAATAACTTTGGTCGTATTGGGTTGGAACTTGATTTTTATAAAGTCAGTCGCATTGCATGCATCTATGTTATGTGGTTGTCTGGCACCATTTTAACAAGTACGTGGTCCATGTACCCGAAGGAGTTTAACACAAGCACTTAAGAAGCTGAGCCTAAGAAGATCAAGATTTTGGAGAATGTCTTCCTTCTGTCCTTTTGAAATGATCTACTCCTTGTGATGTTCATACGTTTAACATCCAATTTCAAATAAGCTAATCAAAGAGAGTGATTTTTTTTTTTTTAAATAAATAAATTTAATTTTTATTGACGATGACGGTTGAAATTATTCGATGGAGAGAATTCCTAAGCAAAGCTACATCAGAAATTGAAAAGTTCTTTGATATCCCCTAGGCTACGACGTGCATTGCATGAGTCTTGCTTGTCATTTTAACTTCCAAGTCTTTATTAATTACTCTTATTATAGCATCTCATGCCTTTTCATCTACTGATACCAATATATAATTTTCTTTGGCTTATCCTCAAATCCTCAATTTTGTATTTTCAAACCCTAGAGTCAAGTAGGTTTACTTCAAGAAAAACTAGGGTACATAAAACATAAGGAAAATTTCTGCATCAACATTCTTTCTGTTGATGGATTTCAAGGTGGTGAAGAGGATATCATAATTATTTCAACTGTTCGATGCAATGGAAATGGATCAGTTGGGTTTCTTTCGAATTGTCAGAGAACAAATGTAGCTCTCACCAGGGCAAGGTATGACTACGTACATTCTAGCTTCCGAAAACATGATCTAGTAATGTAGTACTCCACTTTATTGGATTGTAAACTTAGTGATAGCTTTTTTCTTTTACTCTGGTTATGGAATAAAACATGTAGGTACTGTCTATGGATTGTTGGAAGCAGGAGTACTTTAGGCAATAGTGGATTGGTATGGAAGAACCTTGTGTTCGATGCCAAAACTCTAGGGTGTTTTTATAATGCAGATGATGACATGGACCTTAATCAAGCTACATCAGCCGGTAAATCCAACTTTTTTCGATATCTAAAACTTGAGAAAGCAAGATGGAGGGTAGGTTTCATCAGTAACAATCTAGCTATAAAAAAAAAGGGCAGTAAAATCAAGAATTAAACTACATATACCTATATGCAGGTTATGTTTAGCGACGAGTTTAAGATCTCTATATCAAGCATACACAGCATTGAGGTGCAAAAGCGAGTTAAGGAAATGCTGCACAAGATCTCTGATGGATGGCGTCAGTCCAACTCTGATGAAAAACTACTGATGGATGTGGCCGGCATTAATTATGGTGCGGCTATTGAATTGTTGAAGCTATACGAGCTTGATGAGAAGCTAAATCTTGCTTGGACTGTTGACATTCTTAAGGAAAAAACAAGTTACACTCAAGTTATCAAGGTTTGGCTCGTATTACCAACTTCCAAGATTCCTAATCTTGCTACAAGTCTTAGTGTCCTGTTTGGAAGATTTACTGTGAACTTTATGAATCGTTGCAAGTACAAAAATTTTGAAGGGTATGTAGCTGTATTCTTTATATGTACGACGTATATTGTTGTCGCAAATATAGTATGGTTTTAAGGGAATGTAATACTTATTTTTGGCCTACATACTTGTGTATATGTTACAGGAACTTGGTTGTACCGATGTCATGGCCACTTCAGTCGTCGTACATGGTTTATAGTACACTTCTTATGGCTGATTGTTGAGTCCCTTAGGTTTTGATTGATAGTTTTGAATGATGACAAACAGCTAAGGGAAACAGGTCTTTGAAAGTGTTCAATACAGTTGGGGGAACCAACTAAAATAGAACACTGTTTTCCTAGATAAGTTATTGATTATATGAGTTATCTATTGAACTAACTTATCTATATACAGGAAACAGTTAGATGATAAATGTGCTATGTACTGGTGGGGAACCAGTATGAACCGTTTCCTTGACTGCTATGCGGAAAAGCAGTCACATACTCTTTATTGTGCATTAACCATGTTACATGTGCAGTAGTTGAGTTGATTCCAAGACTTGGAGCATAGAAGCCTTTCGAAGATATTTCGAAGAAAGATTGTTTGCTCATAATAGAAGTATTCAAGGAAGATTCAAGTCTTGAAGATTACATGAAGAAAAGACGATTTATGCTTTAATATGTTATCTAGGTTTTCATGTAATATGCTCCGTAGTATGCTTGCATGTTTGGGTTATATAAGTGCTTAAAAGTATATTGAAGTATGATATGAAATCTGGTACAAAGTTGGAACAGGTTTCATAACATGTTTCAATTCAGGGAACCAGGTCGGGGAACCAGGTTCACTGTACGAAATATTCGAGCTGCCGTTTTGGAAAAAGATTTTACAAAAAGATTTTTTTTCGAAAAGATTATTTTGAAAATATTTTGTGCAGCTGGAAATAAGATGAAATATTCTTGGTTACCTAAAAACTAGGAGTATTTATCTTAATTGATTCTATCTTTGTGATTAAATCAAATAAGATAAATACTTTCCTAAAATTACAATATATCTTATTCTCTAAGATTGTGTGATTTAAGGAAACTAGGTTTTAGGAATCTAAGCTTATATAAACTCATCTTATTTCACATATTTCGTGTGCCTCTCCAGAAATTAAAAAGAGCAATTATTTGAGAGCATATACTTAAGCACTAATCCCATTCATCAAGTCATATACAAGAGCATTCTAGTACAAAAACATTTTCTCTTAATTAGCTTCGTAGAAGTGAGATCAAAGGAGAGTTCTTGATTCTTGTATTGAGTCTTTAACAAAGGGGTTAAAGGCTGGGTGAGTGTTTGTGAGTTCAAACACATTGGGCTTACGAGTGTAAGTCGAGAGCACACTCGGAGTAGAGTGTGGGGTAGACTGGTTCCCGGAGTAGGGAAACAGTAGAGTGTTCTTTGTCTTTGTTTTTCGGAGTAGATTAATAAAGGACTTAGGATAGGAGGACGTAGGCCTGAGTTGGCTGAACCTCGTTAAATTTGTTGTGTTCTTTATTGCTTTGTTTTATTCCGCTGCATAAGGGAACCAGCACAACTGGTTCCTTACACATAATCCGAAAAGAAGCAAAAATCGCTAACGATTACTTAACACTCAATTCACCCCCCCCTCTTGAGTGCCCATTGAACCTTCAATTGGTATCAGAGCCTAAGCTTCTCGAAAGAGTAACATCTAGAGGAGTTAAGAATGAGTACTCAAGAATTAAGTGCAATCGGTTATGACAACAAGTCACCCAAGTTTAATGGAAATAATTATGCTTGGTGGAAGAACAGGATCCAGAATGTTATCATGGGTATTGATTATGAATGCTGGCTCGTAGTTAAAAATGGTCCTAATATCATTCTCAAGACAGATGTTGAGGGGAACTAGGTTCCCAAGAAAGATAGCGAATTGGTCACTGCTGATCACAAGTTGCTGGAGAAGAATGCTAAGGCAATGTCAATACTACAACAAGCAATAGGTGAGACCGAAACAAATCGTATATCTGGCTGCAGTAGTGCTAAGGAGATATGGGACACCCTTGAACTTGCGTTTGAGGGAACCAGTGAGGTAAAACGGTCTAAAATTGATTTAATCATGTCTAAATATGAATTGTTTGCCATGAATAAAAATGAAAAAATCAATGATTGCTTTCGTAGGTTTATGACTATTGTAAATGATCTTAGATCTCTTGGTAAAAATTTATCTGACGAGGATCTTGTGAGAAAATTATTGCGTAGTTTAACAGATGCATGGACAGCCAAGGTAACAGCAGTATACGAAGCAAAGGATCTGTCTACCTTGTCTCTGGAACAGCTGATTGGTTCCCTTATGACTCATGAGATGCTGATTGACTCTAAGTCTGAGAAGGAACCAGCAAGAGGCATGGCGCTTAAGGGAACAGTAGAAGATGATGAAGATGAAATTAGCATGATTGCAAAAAGATTTGAGAGATCTCTTCGAGATCAAAGAAGAATTTCAAAGGTAAGCATTTTAAAAACTATAAAAAATCTAACTCTAATTCTTCTTCTACAGGATGTTTCAAGTGTGGAGAAAAAGGACATCTTATTCGAGATTGTCCTAAGTGGAATGACAAACAGTCTAAATCCGGAGATAAACAAGCATACAAGAATGCCATGATAGCTTCCATGTGGGGAGACTCTGACTCAGGGTCAGATGAAGAAGAAGGATCACCCAACTCAGATGTTTGCCTAACTGCCTTTACAAACATCAAGGAAAACAACACTGGTCCAGGAACCAGAGGGGGAACCAGTACATTCAACAAATGCTTTATGGCAAAGAAGGATGTACTACATGAACGCAAGGTAAGCTTAGAGCAAATTAGAGAAGATATGCATGAATATGATAGAGAAAATATGCTTGCTTGTATTGATTCCTTACTAGATGAATGCTATAAATTAAGTGAAACATACATAATTTGCAAAAGAGAATTAAAAGAAAAAAGTGGTGAATGTAATATTGCTATTGCTAGCTGTGATCATCTAGAAGGAGTCTGTTATGAACTAAAAAATCAAGTAGCAGAACTAGAGGTTGAATTGGACAAGTGTAAAGTGGAACTAGAAAAGGAAAGATCGTTTGAACCAATTGATGGTGAAGAGGATCTGACCTCCTGGTTCCCTAGAGACTTATCAACCACTAGTGATACTCTTGATTTTTCAGTAGCTATAAGTAAAGCAAATTCATGTACTAGAACTTCCTTGTTGAAGGCCTTTGAAACATTGGCTTACAACCTGGAAAATTCTCACAAGGAAATTGCTTCACTTAAAGCTGCACAGTTCACTGTTTCCCCTACAGGTACCAGTGTAGATGTCAGTAATATGATTGATAAGTATGAAAGTAATATTTGTGATTTGCATGCGGAAATCAATCAACTGAAAAAGGACAAGCAACCAGTGGTTGTTGACATGTCTATTGACCGTATGGTTTCAAAGCTTAATCTACAATTCGAAGCTTTAAAAAGTAACTTTGATTTTCTTAAAGAGAAAAACGAATTGTTGACTAAGACACTTGAAACCAGAGAAAAAGAACTTAATGATAGTCATAGACATGTGGACAAATTATTGAATGCTCAAAAATCCTTAAATTACCTGACTTCATCAAGAGGAAACAGAGGAAAAGTTGGTCTCGGTTATACTAGACAGAGAACCAGGACTAACTGGTCTCCCAGAGAAACCACCTGGATCAAAGAATATCAACGAGGCAAGTATGTCATGACTAAAGAGATGCATGTGTGTTTTCATTGTGGTAAAAATGGACATAAGATACATGAATGTCCAGCTAAGAAAATTAGTGCTAATAAGAACAGCAAGGGTGCAAAGTGTGTTTGGAGAAGAAAGGATCAACAAGTTGTTAATATTGTTGAAAAGGGACCCAAGTATGTTTGGGTTCCTAAATCTAATGTTTGATTTGCTCTTGCAGGCTAGAGTGAAGGGAGACACCTATTGGTATTTGGACAGTGGTTGCTCAAGACACATGTCCGGGGATAAAGATCAATTCCTTTCACTAGTGGCCTTTGATGGAGGAAGTGTCACCTTTGGGGATAACAGCAAGGGAACCATCACTGGTTTAGGTAAGGTTGGTAAGACACTTTCTAACGCAATAGATGATGTTTATTATGTTGAAGGCTTGCAACATAATCTCTTGAGTATTTCTCAATTATGTGACAAAGGTAATAGAGTTGAGTTTCAAGCCAACCTATGTCACATAGTTAACTCACAAACAGGAGAACTTGTATGTGAGGGAACCAGGAAGCATGATGTTTACATCACCTTCTTAGATAAAATCCCTCAAGACAAGTCCATCTGTTTGAGAGCTGTTTCTGACAATAATCAATGGATTTGGCATAAGAGGTTTGGACATGCTAGCCTAACACTTCTAAACAAACTTAAAATACGTGACTTAGTTGTAGGCCTTCCTAACATTAAGTATGAAGCTGATAAAGTTTGTTCTGAATGTGTAAGGGGGAAACAGGTCAAAATTTCTTTTAAGCCTAAAACTATTATGAGTACCAGCAGACCCTTCGAACTTGTACATATTGACTTGTGTGGTCCCATGAGAGTACAAAGTCGAAGAGGTCATAGATATGTCTGTGTTATGGTTGATGATTATTCTAGGTACACTTGGGTAATGATGTTACACACAAAGGATGAAACGTTTGAAGAATGGGTAACATTGGTGAAACAAGTGGAGAACCAGCTCACCCACAAGCTGGTCTCGGTAAGATCAGACCATGGTACTGAATTTGATAATGCTAACTTTATTGATTATTGTAGGGAACATGGAGTTAATCACAACTTCTCAGCCCCTAGAACACCTCAACAAAATGATGTTGTAGAAAGGAAGAATAGAACTCTTGAGGAGATGGCGAGGACGATGCTCATTGAGAGTGGTCTCCCAAAGAGTTTTTGGGGAGAAGCTGTTGACACTGCTTGCTATATATTGAATAGAGGTCTCATTAGACCAAAGTTAAATAAGACTCCCTATGAACTTCTTAAAGGTCGAAAGCCCAACATCACATACTTTCGTGTCTTTGGATGTAAATGTTATATGCATAATAATGGGAAGAATCAACTTGATAAGTTTGATCCTAGAAGTGATGAGGGAATCTTTCTTGGATACTCTTCTCACAGCAAAGCATATAGAGTCTTCAATAAAAGGACTCTTTGTGTTG